TTATCTCATGTTAGACCTATTTGCTCCGAATTCATGGTTCAACAATGTTTGACATAGCTAGATGATTATGGTGGTACGAAGTTGCGATTTGAAAATACAAAATGACCTTCAACTTTGCAAAGGTGGAAATTTAGATTAATGCTTCTCACACCCTGCTTGCAGGCCAAGCTATTCTGGATTTTAATGCTTACAATTATCATCTCTTAAAGAGTGAATTCGGGGGTCAAACTTATGGACAAACAATTTCCGAGTAAAAATTCTTTCGCACTTATTACTGAAGCCTTTATCATACTTTGTAAAGGACGAACTGAAAATTTGCCGAAAATGGCGCTTTAAAAGTCAATCCAGCTTCCTTTTAGAACGCTACACATAGAGATTTCTGTGATACTCTTCGTTAGCACTCCTTCACCTCAACAGGAGATAACGGCACTAGCATGTCGCGTTCTCCTGTTGAGGTGAAGGAGTTGCTTTATTTTTTCTATCTAGATTGTGTAAAATTGATGTCTGTTTTTCTAGGACCTTTTTCGAACAACTTTGACGCGTCGGATTCTTTTGTAGAATAGGTGTGCAAAATAATACCTTAGACTTCCCCTTTACCAACGATTCTAAGTCTCCAGCCTTATGTGCTGAAATTTTACATAGTTTGAACACACACAAACCAAACCTAAATCCATTTTTCTTCACTGCAAGTCAAGCGTAAATAATTGCTTCTTTCTAGGAATATAGCTAATGTATGAAATAAGTTTGGTTTTACTTATTGCTTACTCATACTTCTCAAAAATATTTAGACTGAGAAATCGACTCCACAAAGCGGCTAATCACCTTTTTTTACTCTTTTTGCCAAACTTCTAGTTGCAAACCTTTATACTGGAACCTGTACACGAGCTTGCTAATATAAAACTATTCATTAGCCATGTCAAAATCTTGAAAGGAATTAAACTAGTTGAAAGTCGTTTCAAGCAAAAAAAATCAATCGGCTCAACGTGTGGTCCTTACACTGTCTTTAGATCACAACAAGCGAAAAAAACTGTACGCTGAAAGTGTGCTTCTGATGTTCTAAATTGCATTAGGAAATATGAGAATTGACGAATTCAGCTTGGAAACAGATATCAATTTTGCACCAACACAATATTGAATAACTAAAAGTTTCAGAAAGATACCGTTTACGCGACACTGACATTGACACCGGCAAATCAAAATATGAAAGAACATGACACCGGCAAATCAAAATATGAAAGAACAGCCACGAGTGGGACTGTATACGATACCCACTTAAACAAGGGTTCATCGATATGGCTTGTAGATCGTATCAACACACTATAAACAACTTCCTTGCGTATTTGGTTGTTCAATTAAATTAATGCTTATTGAAAAAATTTAGCCTAGAAGAAAATGTTGATGGTTTGAATGAATTATAAGAGTACAGAAGACTGACTCAGACATTTAAGTGTACTCGTATTAATAAACGTTCCATATTCGTAAGTTACGTGTACGGAAGAATTTGTTGAGTTGTAAGACGTTCCGCCCAAGTATTCGCTAAAATTTCATCAGGGAACTTTGAAAACTACAATATTCAAGCAGCAGTTATAACTGAAAGACGAAAGCACAGAAGCAATATTAGTTGAGCACGGGCGAACCAGGCGCAAGCGTATCATCATCGTTCTATATCCTACCTCCTCATACGCTCTGCGGCTAATGAAACATCGTTCGCTCCCAAAGATATTGCGCCTTTTGTGCGGCAGCCTAAACCTTTACCTCTATATCGGAGTAATTGTTTATTCCATTACCCTGCTCAAAGCGATATTGAAGGCACATGATGCTTTCGAATACTTGAAATCATATTCATCCGTGTAAGCCCGGCTATCCGAAATGCTTCCAAATTCTAGTTGTGACATTCTCAGCCAGGCAGCAGCTACATCTTTTCGCGCAGCATTGTAACCGCTCTTCAATCAGTATTATCAAAAATGCAGAATTAATTACGCGTCGCTGATATTGGCGATTGCTCATCGCTAAATTAGCTGCAGCATTTTGAATAGCAATCATAGGTACCTAATATAATTTGTGTTGTGGTAGAGTATACCCACAACGCACAGGCAACGCGTGACCGCCGTTGAAATTTGAGAGTTATTTTGAGTATATTTTCGTCCTCTCCTTTTTCTTCAGTTTATCTCTTCAATACAGAAATCAAGGTTCAAGCGGTTTCTGAGCAAGGCGATGTGAACTTGCAAAACGTTGTCGATAAGTCCTTAACTAGCAGGTGAGTGCACTACCTACATTCTTCCACCCAACTTTACACCACTAAGATTCCGGCTAAACCCACCTAACTAGGCACGAAGATTACTAACTGCAAACTGCATAAACAACATGAAAAGCCGCTTATCTTTAGACATTCGGCGTCTAAAGATTACATTACATCAAACAGCTGTGCATCGCGTATGCGCGGAGATGATCGGAGAAAATGGCCGTAAGCACGTCCGACTCTCGCGATCCTGTAGGCCCCTATATTCAACATATGTACAGGAATGGCCAAAAAATGTGGACAAGATTTAATCGTTAAGAACCCTGTTGCTTTCATGTCTTAAGCCAAGGTTGAGGTACCATTCCGTAAAGCGAGGTTTTACGTAGCCTGGAATCTGGAAACTCCACACTGGGAAAGCAGTTGGCATCAACCTAAGACTTGATTAGAAGCATTGAAAGGAAGTGCAAATTTCATATTTAGAATCAGCGCCTTCGATTAGTCAAGAGTTTCTGGCTTGTTTGGTTTCCCATCTGAGGCAAAAAATCTTCAATTCCTTCAAATCCTTCTCAAAGTCCTATCGCAGTCTTACAGTAATGAAGAATGACTGATGGATCACTTCATATCTTAGGTCTAAGTTGAACTTCGCTTTACAGAGTGTACCTCAAGCCTGGCGAAAGACTTGAAAGCAAGAAATTTATTTACGATCAAACAGTGTTCACATCTGGGACACCCTATATACAGGGTGTCCCAAAAATGTGCCTACTGTTTGAGTGCCAGTAACACTCTTGTCGTGAAGTCTTTCGAAAAGCTTTAGGTACTTCACTATAAAGCTGGCATCAACCTAGATTTACAGTATCGAGCGAATGACCCGCCTTTCTTCATAACTGTAAGATTACGGTAGGAACTTCAAAGGGTTTGGAGCTGAAGAGGATTGAATATTTTTTTTCAAATTTTATATTGGAAAGAAAACGACACGATTTCAAAACTTCCATACTACTCAGATAATCGCCGGGGAGCAGGCGGTCCGCAAACTCGCGCTTTTCTGCAAGCGGTCAACAGAATTTTGGGGCGTGGCCAAACTTTCAGCTGGCGGCACTTCCTTTACGGTCGTATATTCTGACAGCGGGCAACAATGCAGCATTTTCTGCAAGCACTCGGCAAATAATTTCTTTCAGCGAGCGTTGGCCAAACTTTCAGCAAGCGCTGGGACTCTTTTTAAGCAGTTTCGGGCATACGTCGAGCACAGGTAAGACTCTATGTGACAGAGGTGTCACCTTTGTTTAATTACACAAGTTTGGGGTACTTTCTCTCAGCGGAAAGTACCTGGGGGTGCGCGGTCCTCCACAAAAGACCGTGCGGCCCCCGAAAATTTTGCCTATTCTCGCGGAAAGTCCGCGAGAATGCAGCCACTGCGCCGCAAATAATCTATAAACACATTGTTCTCTAAGCATTCTTCTAAAATTTCGTTAAAATTCTTCCAAATATCTGCAAGCGGACCGCAAGAAATCGGCGAACTGTTTTTCGGTGCCCGCCCACCCATAAATCGCATGACCGCCTGCCCCCGGCGGTTATCTGAGTAGGTAATTTAGATTTACTAAGTTCAAATGTAAAGTTTTCATCTCATAAAAATGCTTCATCGAAAAGTTTTGCTAGGTAAGCGGTAGCAGCCGTTTCGATGTTGCTAAAATACGTGATTATAAAGTTTCAAGCATCAAATCGTGTGCGAAGTCGTGTATCAAATTCGGCGTCCATGAAAAGCCTATCACGTCCAAACCATACCTACCGCTATTTCCTCAATTTCCTAAATCTCAATCGCGACTTGGCGATCCATCAGATTTTTCCAAATCTATTGCGCGCGGCTCTCAAATCATACATACAATCGGCTCCCCCGATTGCTGCGAGGGCGGTCGCGATGATCAACCGATAATCAGTTTACCAGCCATGTTTCAACACGGGGCAACCGCATCGCTGATACGCTCGCCCAAGTCCGCTCGTGCGGCAATTGGGGAGCCGATGGTAGGTGCGTAGCTTTCGTAAGTCTTCGCAAACGCTTTGAGTCTCGACCAGGCAAAGTGTGCTTGCGATGATAAACTACGAAGGGTCGCTGCAGTGTCAAAATGCGCAGCGACTAGAATCGCATGAGGTATGCCTTAGGCCTTCTACAAGTTCAAAAATCTTTGAAGTCATTCGGAATGGTAGATTTTTCACAGCTTTTCACATATTCAAAAGTCTTTTCTTTAATCTTGCATTAATGAAGAGCAATAGGTGATGCGCTTTATACTATAAATCTAAGTTGAAGCCAGCTTTAAAAATGGTATTTAAAGCTTTTCGAAAAACTCCAAGACGAGACAGTTATTAACTTCAAACAATAGGCATATTTTTTGGAGACACCTTGTACTCATTATATATATTTAACGGTATCACGAGCAGTTACTAGGACTTCTTAGCTGAACTCTCAACACTTAGAATGCAAAATTCTATCAGAATAAAAACTAGTCCGGAAAGCCTTCATGAAATTTGATGCTTTGTTGAAGGCATTAAAAACAAAGGCAGCATTACCAGAAAGAAACACTTGCGGATTTTTTTGAACGCTTATCATGTTTTGCCTGCCAGAGCTTGACTATCTGTTCCAAACAATTCGAAGATTTTCCTAATTGCTCCCGTTGCAGGCACTTGTCTCCTTTGTGTTGAAATTAATATATTTTTTCAAAATGATTGTTACTTCTAACAGATGAATTCCAGCTTTATATACATCAAAGATATTCAGCATAATGTGGCTTATGCCCAGTGATTGAACATTTTCAAGCCGTTCACAAGTATCCGCCATAAGGAGTAGGTACAACCATACTAGTTTCGGCGTGATGAGCGTCCTCTAAAAATTGCAAGTCCCTGTGAAAATAGATAATCATGAGTTGACTCACCCCTATGGTAGTCTTGCGCGACATTACGAACTGCAGCAACTCCTCGTTCATAATACTGAAATGAAGATGTAAACATATGCAAAGCGTTGAAATTCTCTTTATATTCCATTCTTGACATTCCATTCTAGTCTCTTTGGACAAGATTTCAAAGCATGCAGATAGCATACCGGAGCGTAAGAAAAACCATAAGGGAGAGGATCGTATGCAATCGGACCGACAGGATAGGAGACTGGTCCACCGAAGAGAGGGCCAGGGTAGGGTGCTCCTATACATATATTCCGATCGAAGCAACGAGACAAGCAAGGTGCTGCCAAACCTTTTATAAAACCCTTCGCTGGAACCATTGAACCTGGGCCCATTGGACCAGAACCCATTGGACCTGGACCCATTGGACCCATTGGGCCCATACCGGCATGTGAACTGAAATAATAGTAGGTTTTAATTACTGCATATCATAAAGTATAAGAGAAAAGAGAACAAATGACTAAGATAACTTACTAAGCAACCAAAAATACAAGGCTAGCGAAAAAGAAGGAGACAGGACTCATAACTATCCTAGCGATTTTTGCTTGCTCTACCAGACGTCGTTGCGCATTTTATATTCCGCCGCTTTTTTGCTATAAAAAATTGTGTAAACATTGCAGGTTCATGTAACTTCTTGGGTGTTGACAATTTTTTCAAGTTAAGAGTGTGTAAGCTAGATTTTCGCCACCTTGCGATAGAGTAAAAGTGTTCTAGCATTTTTTAACGTAATGAGATCATATATGAGATCACCTTTTTTACCAAAAGTTCTTACAATCATCCATGCTTTTTATCGTATCCGCTCAAGTATTATTATACACATCTGCATGCATGCACATGAACACAACTAAAAGTTGTTAATTGATATCGCAGTACGAATGTCTGACCTCATGCCTCAAAACGCTTAGGTGTGGAAATTTATAAGAAAATCTCTGTTCTGGTTACTGCCGAATCCTCTCTGCAAACTCTCCCATCTACAATCCCATGTAGAGCTATAATGTTGAGTTTTTGGCTAGATCATCGATGTTGTAGATGTATAAGCTCTTTCGCAATGTGGTCATATAATCATGACACTGTTGTGACTTCAAACAAAAGCTCAGAAAATTTTTGATTTTGAAAAGGAAAGGTTACATAAAAATTTTGGAGATAATTGTCACTCGGTGTTTGAAAGGAAATGGTGATTCAGTGTGAGCTAGATGAACGCACAAGTTAATGGATAAATCAGCATACGCTTTTTGTTTTTTAGCTGCTTCAGCAGATCTCACCAAATCTCTTTATATACGTTTCATTGTTCAATGCATCGTTATAGAGTAATTCGTAGAGTTTTTTTGCAAACACTTATACAGAGCTAGAAATCGCTTTTGATTCACACATGCCCTCAGTCTAGAAAGATATTCAAGTAACCAGATCCAAAAGCAAATACAACATTTCCAGAAACCTGAAAGTTTACAAGTGCCGGAGTACTAACAGTGCGTATCCAAGTTCAGGTTCGCGTTCATGCTGAATCAAAACTTGAGTGCATTGAATTTGCAAAGGAAAAAAACTTGTGCTCACCTAACAACTGTTGATTTCATTGTAGCTATGTAGTTCAAACCAGTAGATTTATGCTTGCTTATTTTGTTAACATCATTTTCCTTTACCTAGTTTCGTGCGTTTGTTGTACCAGTCTCAGCGCAGTACAAATTATGAGTCACCATATGTTGTGTCTCTTTTTTCTCTGCATATTTCAATGTCTTCTCTTTTTTTTTCTGACTGTACACGAAAGAAAGGTAAATTTCATTTTTCTTAGGACGGCATCACTTGTATTACATTACGCATTAACCTGGGAAGATTGAAAACATTAATGCTCAGATTACAAATCTAATCATGTAGCGAAGGGCTCACGCAAGAATGTGCACGGTAGGATATATCCTGAGTATATAAACTTTTTTTGTGAATAAGTACTCAGCATTTACACAATTTCAATGAGCATTTGCACTTTTTGTTTTGCCTGTAGATCTACTGAGTCGAGGTCTGCCATTTACAAAAGCTAATGTCTGCCCATGACGAAGGCGGTCGCCCAAATAGGTTGAGGGCTGTCGCGCACGCGGCGCGTGGGCAATTGTCAACCACCGGGCGCGCACGCTCGGTCATCGATTATCCACTGGAGCGTGTGCGGGCCCCGTGGCTGACCATTGCCCGCGCGCCGCGTGCGCAACAGCCTTCTAATTGAGCGACCGCCTTCGTCACGCAGCAGATATCACTATTCTTACATTCACCTTGCAATTTACCAAATCCAGTGTGATATGAGATGCCGCCATGAACCGACTGGACAAAGTTTTTTCCCTTGGGAGCGCTTAGCCCCTGGGGGCCTCAACTGGTACCACAGTAACCGAAGGGATTAAAGCGCACATTTGGTAATCGGTTAAACCCCGCAAGTTATTGTAAAGGTTCGCATGCATTTCATGGCCGCTTTTGCTAAGAAGATGAATGCCTTTGCCGCATGCCCGCCAAAATCATTGAAGAGCCTTGTCTTTTGTCCTTGAGTAGTAAATGCGCACTTTTAAGACGAGGATGCTATAATGCAGCTGATAATCAAGTTCTTCCAGTGAATATGTAAATTTGCCTAATGATGACGAACACTGGCAAGCATGAGAAGCTCACATCAAAACAAATGATCTTTTGTGAACTGATACAACATCAATATATATGATGGCGTTTTTCGAATTTTAGATCTGCTCAGGACAAATTTCGTGATGGCGAGGCTGCCTTAGACAATCCTTCTACGTGCGAGAGATTCATTCCAAAATAAGTACTTGTGTTCACTGTAAAATGGCTTTAGTCCTCTTGCTTAGTTGTCTGCAGCGGATGGAGGACTATATGTCGCCGAAAAAGGGCGGTCCCGGCGGTCATTTGCGACAAATACGCACCCTTGTACACGCGCGGACATGCGTTCTTGCAGGGAATCCACGTGGGACTCTTCCAAATTCGGCGACATGTAGTCCTCCACCCGTCTGCAGCTGCGCAGACCATTCGAGATTGCAATACATTACGGGACTCAAACTTCATAATTATTATTCATTAGGTCGCTATTACGGGGAGTGTCCGAATCATTGTATTATCGCCTTAGACCTATGATCGACGAAATTAAGAACTGGAATTTTAGGCAAGTGAACGTGCTTGAGCACTTAAGCAACCTTAAAAAACAAAGCGTTTTCGATTTCCTCACCTCCCCCCAAGATCATTATGACAGATTGCCAGTGGATGTAAAAAAAACTTGCAAAAAGTCACGCCCACGCATACTCTACAAGTCCTCGCACAGTAACTTATGTTAGAGCAAGCTCAGACACTTAAGGATAATTGTTTTATTGACGCATAATTCTGTACTCCGTTAAATTAGGACCAAGGATTCACACCTTGCAGATCAGGAATGCTGCGAAAAAATCTGAAATCGTCAGCAAATAATTTTGTGACATATTAATTGCAACTGACACATTGCGCTGCTTGAACCTCTCTGGAAAGGTTGTAATTCGAAACTGACAAGTCAATCAACTTTGGCGTTTTCTGTTATAGACTCGAAAACAAAACTTCTGGCAGAAACGTGCAAAAAGAACAAACTTTTTCAAATGCAAAGAGTAGGCCATGAAATCTATGTACAAACAATCTCAATTTCTCTGCAAAGTTCCGATTTTTGACAACCTAATTTAAATGATTGAAGCTCGAGTGGTCTTCTTTTTCCATCCTTACCTCTGCAATGAGTGTATAGTACAAGCTCAGAAAGATGCACTGACAAAAAAGAAAATTTCTTTTTTTTATTGTTCAAGGAAGCAAATCTATGGAAATAGCGAAAGGTCGATATCTTCGACAGGACTTACGTCAAATTAAGCCGATTCAGGCATTAAACAAGGGTCTTTCCAGCATGAATATTCTTTCTCGCTGCACTTTTCTGTCAGCAAAAGTAAATCTGCAGTTTTAATGAAGTGCCTTAGTGTTTGCCTTTTTCAACAGCTGCGTAGAAAGCCTTGAAATTGCATCGTTACCACTACCCAAGTTTCGCTGCACCAGTCAATTAATTGTGATCGCTAATGTAAATTGCCGAATTTGAGTGCAAGATTGATTGAGACCGCCACATTACCAGTTGTGGTAAGCATAGAAAGAAAAAAGGAGATTCTGAAAAGTGTTAGATAGGATGTTAGGGCACCAAACAGTAAAAATTCACAACGGATCTGAATCCCAAAGGGTTTTAATTGTGGTGCGTTGGAGCTTCAATTAACACTTACAGCACCATCGGTAGCTGTCCAAATCACGATCGTAAACCAAATTTTTAGCAGTTTGTATAAAAAGGCAAAATGCAAATTGCAAAACCATTTCTCAATGCTTATCAAATAATTTACAGGAAATCGCATAAGATATCCAAACATATGAAAAAAATCAACAAAAAACTGCACATCATTTGATAAAGCTAAAATCCAGAGGATATCAGCGACACCCAAATTCCGACACTTTCTGAAGCCAATGATCTCGATGTAGGCGCAGCTGCCGCAGAGGATTTGGATAGCAACATTGAACACAACAGGGCATCTACTGGTAGTATGCATGACAGATCTCTTATTCGCAGCATGAGCTAAGCTCATCCTCGAGCTTGTTTGGCTGTTGTTGAATGTCTTTCGAGTAACGTGTGTAAGGAGTACAAGTGATACGGCTAGACCATAAAGAACTTCGACTTCAGTAAGTTATCCTCAGATTTATCGATCGAGTAAGGAATTTGGTTCAAGCGGGCTGGATAACCAACAAACGATCTTCACCTCATCCTGGAGGTACTGAGTAAGCTTATCCTTGAGCTTTAAATATACGAAAATGAAGGATGTGGCGCTGGGAACTGCTTGGAAGGCAGTGATAAGACATGCTTTCGGAGACTGACAGATGGATGTGGTTGAAAGTTGAGATTCATAGAAGTTTGATGGTGTGACTGGTTTTGAAGAATATTAGGTGGAAACTGGATGGGGAAAACGGTTTTTTGTTGTAGAACATAATAAAAAACAGATTGGTGAGGAGAAAACACATAGTTAACAAAGTATTAGGAGGTATTGGATCACATTTATAATGCTCAAAATGGAGGAGGTGGAAGGGTAGAGCGGATGCAAAGAAAAGGATATTATTTATGATAGCAAAGCAATAAAACAAATCTAAAATTTACGTGAGGGATACCATTTGGTAGGGCAAAGGAAGCCCTAGAAGATGACCCGCGAACCTTAGCAGAAGTTGTGACTTACGCAAAGTTTAGAGCCAAAACATAGGATGACAAAATTCGCATCACCCTAAAAAATCCTACAAACTTCTCACTTCCTCCTGCATGCAAAAGACATATGCACTTATCTACATGTACGCTTGCTATATTCCTTCCACGCTTAGAAAACAAAAAAATTGAATAACGGAAATTGGCAAATTAGGCCCCAATAGTCCTGGGCTCCTCCCATATATGTCATTGTATACTGCCAACCATCGAGAATCAGAGCACGAAAATTAGGCTTTGGATATGCCCCAATTTTTGAGAAAATATAAATTCAGCTCGAAGAACCAAAAGAAGGGACACCCTTTTCCAATCCAGTACGATTTGGAGAGCACTGCGATCTCTGATAAAGGTGAGTGGTAAACCATTTCCGTTGTTGCTTCATATAAGCCTGCGACAATGACATTCCATAAGGGAAGAATGTAAACATCAAGGACCGCAAGCGTGATCTGATACACTGCTCCCAATTTGCTTGACAGAAACAGTTACCCTAATTTCACGCGTACAAGGCGCGGGGTGGTCCTAGCTTTCATCGACCAGCCCGAACACGGCAAAGGACTTCGCAACCGAAGGACCCCATACCGTGCTGCGTTTTGCCTGACGAATCGTGCGGCATAAGAATCGCTTCTTAAAACACGTTGGGGCCGCTGAGCAGCTCGATGAAAGCTAGGACCACCCCGCGCCTTGTACGCGTGAAATTAGGGTACATGTTACCACTTTTGACAATCGTATGCGACCAAAAAATGGCATTTTTTTCTTGTAGTTGATCACATAACGAGATTTTCATATAGACTCTCATTTGGCAGTTTGATTCAAGGAATCAATGGAGGAACTATGAAAAATCTTAGTTTTATTTTGATCCAGGTAAAAGGCCTAATTTTGCACTTCTTCTTCGAACACCTGTCATTTTTCTATTACATCAAGCATTTACCCTATTTTCAGGTGTATAAGCCGCACCCTTTTCGCTCTAAACGCGAGCAGACCCAGGCGTGCCGCCGCGCATATGTCTCGCGAAGCGGTCGCCTTATCGCATACTGCTCTCACTTAACGCGCTCCATGATGACAATCAGTCTTTTGGCGTGTTCGCCTTTAGAGTGAAAAGGGTGCGGCTTATACACCTGAAAATAGGGTAGTTCTTTTTGCAAAAAGTCTGGAATTTTTACTTCCAGTCCAGCAGTACCTCAACAGGAAACTTGCAAAAGCTTTAATCAAAAATTTACCACGTTCAAGTACTAATATTTCAACTATTATTGAAACAAGTGTTAACTAAAAATGCCAAAAGCACTACGTAAAACATCAGGTTGTTGAGTCTGATTTAATGCGCAATAAATATATGGTAATAAATGAATTAAGTCAACTTCTCTGCTCAGCTCTGTACATAAATACCAAGCGACGGACCGGAGGTGAGGGAGGAGAGCAACAAAATCACAATAATGGTTTTGTTTTTACTTGATCATACTTGAGAATCTCATAACAATTTTATATCTCTAGAAAAGCTTTTTTGGCGCGATTGCAGATCATGCCCCTCGATCCAGGAAAAAACTTTCTATCGACCAATCCCCTTCCAGAAAAAGGCTGCCACTGTTACGATAGACGACAAGATTCAGATATTGAGTCGTATCAAATTCCGCGAACATCGCTTCCCAGTTTTTATAATGTTTTTCCCGCAAAAAAACATATCTGTTAGCTTCTTTGAAATAGAATAGTGCCTCTTTAGTTACTCTATACATTTTCTCTCTCAGAACAGCCGCTAAAGAAAAAACCTAGCACCATAATTGAGGCGTCATAGCTTAGACTGAAACTTGATATATAGTAAATTTTTCATGACTGTCTAAAATTCTGTGAAGCAATTACGTCGGTACCAGTGTCAGATACGGCACCCCTTCTTTTCCGATTTGTTGCAATATGCAATTTTTTTGAAGATAGGAATTTCTTTGAACATTACTTTTCAACGGAAATTCTATTTGCCAGTAAAACTTGCACAAAAACTTTTGATGATTTTCATCTTCAACACATTTTATTTCGATCTTCAAAAAAATTGCGAGCATTGCAGTGGTGCTTGAATTATTAGCATGTGGCTGCCTTAGAAACTGATAAAAACACTCGAATTGTGTTTTCGACTTTGGAAAAATGCAACTTCTACAAAATGGCGCGTTGATATCGCGTTAAGTTCGATCCACATCAAGCAAAGCTAAAATAATAAATACGAATATCCAAATATATCGTATCTCGGTTCAAACAGATTTGCGAATTTCCCACTCCCTCACGCACATACTTCTCCACCAGATTTTTATATATAAACTTGCTACATTTTTCTAAGGGTTAGGAATCAAAAAGAAAATTATGCACTGGATTTTCAAACTTTGTCCGTAGCGGTTCTGTGTTCCTCGCAAATATGTGACTATATAGCTTCCAGTTCGGCTTACTCAGCTTCCGGCCCTGTCAAAACACTATGATAAAGGTCTCATCCTTAAGGTCCTGTACAACCTTTCCCTCTGCCCACTTCTAAATGCCAGTTCCCTATTCCCGCTATGTTAGTAATCAGCATGCTCGATTACCCCCACAGACATTCATTTAATTGGACTCAGCGATTCTAAAGTCTGCAAGTAAGCAGAAAACTTTTACAACCTAGGACAATAGCTTTGCGTCATCATAGGGCAAAGCTAAGAGCCTTAACCTCTACTATTCTGCTTTCTGGTGCTTAACTTTACTCGAAAATTTGCTGCTTGGTATGGTGCACCAATCGCTTCGTACAGTTTGATTTTTTAAGGGTTCCTTCATACTACGCCCGCAGAACGCAGCAGCCTGCCGCAGCATGCGGCAAAACGCCGCGTCCTGCGGCGTAGTATGAAGGAACCCTAAAAGTGATTATCTTCTAAAACGTCGTAAGCGCTCAACACTGAACTATCATCCTCATTCTCTACAAGACCAATAATTTCGCGCTGGAATATGCGCCCCTTGCAAGGGCGGGAACTCAAGTTTGTGCCCGACTCTAAAGCTGGTGCGTAGATGGACAATAGAGAGTAAGAACTATGTATGAAACATTACGAAAAAGTTATGAGAATGTGTGCCAAGGTTTTCCTCAAAGTTGGGTCGCATTGGAACCACCTGAAGAGCCAACTGATTCATATGTTTCTTCTGTACAAAGAATTTTTCCTCACTACATAACTCTGATCTACATCTACAACCCTCCAAATAGTTTTTGAGCCTATCAAACCCCTTCTTACCGCTTACAGCCTTCAGATATCTTAAACGGAGGCGGCAATTCTGTTCCAGGCTGGCAGTGGTGCGTCGGACACAGCATGCGACCAATTCGGAGAATGCGAAACATTTTCATTGTCTGTTCAATGTTGTTTTTGTGTTCTGTTCTATTCTTCCTCGTGATCATGTTTTAAATATTCATGACAGTGTCATACAGGATGTCATATTTTTGTTGCGAACTCAACGGGGACATCGTTTCTAAGTCAGAGCCACCTCGTGCTGCGCTCTGGTTTAAATCATCAATGCAAGTTTTTCCTGCATTGATGATTTGAACCTTGATTTTCAGTTGCCAGAATCCGATTAGTTATTAGGGTAATCCAAAACACTGTTCGATTTTCATTTGCCTTGTATACAACGCGGCCATTTCATGAGAGTTTTGATTATTGCGGTAGTGCAAACATCTTTAAGGAATCTTTTCTTGCTCTTTTCGGTGATTGCTATAACGTGTTGGAATGCTCTCCAGTTATGAAAAGCTCAAAGCACAAGCTGTCTAAGTGCAGTCATGCTCAAGAGGGTGTCAGTGGAGGAAATCTGCGCAGCGTTCTTGAAATCGCTCGTGTAAAATCCATAGTGTTATAGGAGTTGATGTGCTAGCATATGCGCACTTCCAACTTCCACGTAGGAATTGGCTTACGCTCCAGTTTTTGATTCCATTAGCTATTCTACAAGCGAAAACAATCTACTCGTAGCAACAAATAGTGTATTCAATAGCAAGGTCAAGCAGAACCATCACCCTATTGGTTTTTGTCTTTCGCAACAAGCAAAAAAATCAAACTTGGAAGTAAGTTATTGATGCGCGCGTGAAGAAGCTTTCAGATAGAGGCTTTTTTGATTCGCTCGCAAATATCTATACGTAGAAAAAAGTAATTCTTTGTTTAGCTATAATAAAATCTCTGGTATATAACCTGCAGAGTAATGCTTTATGCAAGGATAAAAATACACGTTTGGTGTCAATATTGAGTAGGTTATATTGACACCAAACGTGTCTTTTTATCCGTGTATAAAGCATTACTATGTTGGAGTTCTTAACGAATACTTTGTGATATACCCCAAATTGTTCTCCTCGCTCATTTGTCTTTTTCAAGTGTCGCGCTATCCATATGATAGCAAAAACCGCATTGAACCATTAGGATTCGATCTTTTCAAAAATGTTTGTTTCCAGAGGAGGTTAAACACTCAGCAAATTGGGCATTTTTTTTGCAGAAAACTAGGGTTGTAAAGTGAATCTTGCTACATTGTAACTTCTTACGACTACGAGTCGTATACTTTGAATTTTTGGTAAGGCTCCAGGGCACTATTCGATAGAGCAAAGCAAGCTTTACACGATGGGCAAAAGTTCGCACCTTCTCCGACTCTACGTAAGTCTGTGTCTAGACCTCAAAAATTTGGTAAAAATTATAACCTACGAGGGGAGGATACTAACTCATTAATAGATTCGCCCACTAACGTGAACACATATATTTGAATCACTTGGAACGCTGATTCTGAATATGCTGTTTTTAGCTGCTTAGCTTTATTCTGAAACGAGTTATGGCTTCTTTTCTATGCAGAGTTTGCGTGCCCCTCTACTTACTGATGCTACGGTGTCGACGTCTAGGTGGTTTTGCAATTGTTTAACGCTCCCTTTCAAGATCGGAAAATTAATCTGATGCTAGTTCAACACCCTAGCATTTTTTTCGGGCAGATTCTTTTCTACACGCCGTCTTACAACATTCAGAAGTCTGTTGGTTGCTTACAAAGGCAAGCCCATAACTCGCTTCGGAATAATACTAAGCAGCTAGGAATAGCTTAATTGGAATCAGCGTTTGAAGCTGATTCCAAGTGTATGTGTCCCATCTCAAAAAGCGATAACTTAGTATCCTTCCCTTGTTAGTTCAAAAAAAAAAAAGACCCATGGATCTCTAACTAACTCATAGAAATTGCACTTTACATCGGGCACTCATATGTACCGTTGCTGTCCTTCTCTCATCTAAAAATCAAGAAAGCAAAAAATTTCGAGCTTCACAAAAATGAAGCTACGCTGTTTCCTCTCATGTAATTGTAAGTGACCGTAAATTTTCAGTTTTCGACAAGCTCTAGCTTCCGGAAATACCGATTTTAGCCCCTCCTCACCCGAGTTTTTATGTTAAAATCTGTATTTCTCGAAAACTAGGGCTTGTGGAAACTTGAAAATTTACGGTACTTCTAAAAGCTTGTAATGTACAATTTTGAGAGTAAAGACACCATAGCTCCGTTTTTGTATAAGCACGATGAGAGAAAAAAATAGCAACGGTGCTCATCAGTGTCTGATGTGATATGCAATTTGTCTGAGCAAGTCGGAGATTGTAGAACTTTTTCAAATTAAGAGTGGATTTTTTCCAATTCTTCCAGCCTTCAGTACAACTTCTCGATACTAACTTAGGGTAAGTTGAAGTTGGTGCGAACATTTGCACACAGTTTTGTAGAGCTTGCTTTACTCTATCGAATGGTATTCTGAAGCCCTATCAAGAAGATTATGAACTACTAGCTGCAATCCTGGCTCCGCCCGGCCCTTCGGTCCAAAAGCGTTAATGACCTTCTCTAGCATAGCGAAGGCAGATTTAAAATTAGCATTTGCATATCGTATAGTATACTTTTCCTGTTAAATAGGTGAATAAAAGTTCTCTCTAAAGGTTCCTTTATAATACGCCGCAGGACGCAGCAGCCTGCCGCAGCACGGCCGCGTCCTGCGGCGTGCGCCGCTGCAGGCGCAGTGAAAATATACGGCAGCACAGTATCCCGGTTATGGGAGTACATCTATATTTGCTGCACGTTTTCTCCGAGAGGTTCTCAGACAGTCGATGGGATACCTCCGGAGCATGGCAGGGTCGCGGGCTTTCCCCAGCGGTGGGTTGCCACTTCACGCTCCGGAGCCCTGCCATTTCACGCATTTTTGTGCTCCGGGGCTCTCCCAAAAGTGGCGCAACTCCAGAGCAGAGATTTGCGCGTCGCGGAGAGGGGTCCCATTCGTCCTGTTTGTGACGTCACCGGGACGTCACGGTGAATGAATGGTACCCCTCTCCGCGACGCGCATATCTCTGCTCCGGAGGTGCGCCACTTTTGGGAGAGTCCCGGAGCACAAAAATGCGTGAAATGGCAGCGCTCCTGAGCGCGAAGTGGCAGACTCGCGCCATATGCCCGCCGGAGGTATCCCTTCGACTGTCTGAGTTCCTTCACAGTGAGGAGCTTATATTTTCACTGCGGCGCGCGCCACAGGACGCGGCAGGCTGCTGCGTCCCGCGGCGTAGTATGAAGGAACCCTAAGGTCTTTAATAAAATTAGCTCTATGCCAATATTAATAACTGATTAGCCGTGGTATACTAGCTTGCTTCATAAGCTCTCTAAGCAAATGTCTGAAAGGCTTTCGTCTTCAACAAGGTAATATCTGAATCATTATTGTGAGTTTTATGCTCTTTCTGGTACTCAAGTGTCAACTCTTCAGTTTGGCGAGGCTGCGGGCCTAAGATCCCAGGCGGCCGAAGTTCGGTCTCATTTAGGTCCGTATGGACTAACATCTCTGCGGCGAGGGGAGCGACGATTACAGTGATGTAAAAGTCGCAGTGGCATCCGCACGCAGCATTTTCATAAAGGGGGACGCCGCTCCCCTCGCCGCAAGGATATTGGTGCATATGGTCTCAAAATGTATTCGCTTGTAAGGAAACCTCAACAATGGTTCTCCAAGTTACGTTGGTCACGGAATATGGATGTAAGGAGCTAGCATATGCACAGAATCACATTTATAAAAAAACTAGCTAGCATACCCAATATCGCACAAAATTGGGTAGCCTGACCGTCAAGCGGTATACATTCTCCAAACGCATCGGCAAGACTTAATTTACCTCTCCGTCGACTTGCACCTCACCTCCACCTCTCACTACCTTGCCTTTCTTTCCTTTCTTGAACGGATTACAACCTTTGGGAGTCCCTTCATAGGAATAGAGCGGCCCTTTGGACCTCGGGCAGAGTTAAGCGATGTGGTCGTCGCGATTGAATAGCTACAGACAAGTGTGTTACGAGTTCTTGCATGCATCTTCTTGCATTTCGGCTGTGATATTTTCCAACACGACTATTCGTGACTAACTATCACAACCGAAATGCAAGAAGATCGGCATGCAATGAACTCGTAACACTTGTCTTGTAGCGATTGAATCGCGACGATCAAATCGCCTGAGCTCTGCCCGACGCCTTAAGCGACTCACATAGAGTGCATGCTGTTAACCAGCAAATAAAAATGACGTTTATCGCCATATTTACATGACTGTGGTGAAATGACTTGATGATAATCGTAAGCTTTCATTCTTCCAGAAATTAGTAAGCAAATCAATAAATCGATAGAATAATCCAGCGAATTTCTTGAAAAGTATCCTAAGACCGTCTCCGGAGTCGGAAACATCTGTGTGCAAATCTTCTCAATAGGTTCAGACACATGCGCTTCTATAACGCAAGTACCTCCATACGTACATTTTTGAGTTGTACATACATACATATAGAGATTATCTTGCTTGTAAAATACATAGCTAAAAATCAATCATTCGTATAAGTTTGGCATGAATAATTGGCACCTCCTAAACAAGGTCAAAAAGCGGCTTCTTTGACCGAACAGAAGGATTTTTTGGCACCGAAGGGTTGTGGGCTCTTTTTGGTTATAGAATAATTTTCAATTTTTTTACTATCTATGGTGGCTAGGGTGGCTACGTAATATGCCCTCAGCTTTTATGGGAGAGCGTAGCCATGCCAGACAGGCTTGAAATGAGGTAATATAAATCTAGATCTTGCATCTTTTTCAAGAATATATTTCGCAATTGCTTCCTTCTCAGGCAAAAAATGCTTAGTTCGCGGAAATCGGAACCATCAAAAAACAGTGATTGCAAAAAGCTAAGAAGCAGCACCTGGTACATTGAGAATTCATTCTGGTATCCCTGTAATGTGGTATCTGAGTTGCATTGCAGCTACATACCAAATATTATACTGGCAAATACGTCACACCGTACTTGATATTTGAAGTTTTTGAATTGGTCAAAATTTCTTGTCTATACGTACTTTTCATTTCACAAAGTTTCAAGAACTGTGAAAGCAGCTCGTACTAGCAACTTTCTGCAAACCTGTATATCACATAAAAGCTTTTTGACATTTAATTTGCAAATATTGGTAATCCTCTTCTGCAATTTTCCCGATACTCTGTTACGCGAACAGGGTTATCACTCAAACAACTTGAAAGATTTATTAGCGAAAGCGTACCAAGAAACACTTGGACGTCTTTACTGTCTTTACTACGGTAATCCTGACTTTTTCTTGATTCAGGCATTTTGCTACATGTGATATGAGCAAGGGAGCCACTCGTCGAAATGTCATGCGTATTTTCACTTTAGTAGGTATGCTTGCTTAGAGATACATTTCTACTTTTTATCGATTAGATAACATATACCGCAGTTTATCTTTTGTGATGTTCTAAACCACTCCATACCGTCGTAATTTTACAGAAGGTCTCATTGGACGAGGGACTCCCACCAATGCAGCTGGGGATTATGACAGGTACGAATTGATATGCTTTTGGTTTTTCAAGCTTTCGTTTCCCACTGGCACCTCGAGAGTTTGCAAAAAAAATCAATAAAATCCTTGAAAACAGTGGACAATTTCAAATTTAATTTTTCTGTGTTTGGTCATGAGAAATTTGAAATTTGCAACAAAAATCGGTGCGGTTGGTAATACAGGTGAAAAGAGAATTATCCACGATCAGTGAAAGAAAAATCAGTGAAAGAAAAGAGAATTGTTTCTCGATTCATTATTTAGTCTCATATCTTTCACCAAGCCATGTACTCGGTTATCCCAAATGCTCACTTATTCTCCTTCAGCCAATTTATCTCCAGTCATTTATTCCAGCATTTCTTCTAGACTCATTATTTTCTTCATCCTTATGTAAAAGAGTAGAGTCGCAAGGATTGACCGAAATCGTTCCTTCATCAAACAGGTTGGATACGGCATGATGGTAGTGAAGTGAGAGTAGAATGAATATTCTCAAGAATAATGAACTCTATAATATTATAGACTAATAGGTATTTTTGACCAAATGCGCAGCAAACTTCTGTTCGCTTGTTATTCTTCTCCTTCCTTGCTTAAGAAGAAATCGTCACTTACTTCGCCCTCTAAAATTAGTGAGAAACATGTTCAATAGAGAGAAGCTAGGTGGAAGGTAAGTTATAAAATTAATCTCACAACAAGAACTTTTCAACGGCCGCATGTTTATCGATGTTCCCTTCCTTTATTCTCCCTCAAAGGCAAGATAGTGTTTCGATTTCAACTCAAACTAGTTTTCAATAGTTGATAAAAATATCTTCACAGGGATTCGAGGACAATGATGTCTTTTCAAAAGCATCAGTTCACTATACTCGTTAGCGCTTCACAGGTCAAGCTTCTCAGAGCAGTCAAAAAGGATATTTCTATCCCCATGTTTAGATTGTATTTTTGATCCTTTTTGGCTTGTTTGGAAGATATGATGCTAATATGATGCCGGGTGGTTCGGATAATGATGTTTACACAGCGCGGTTGTATCCGAGTAAGCTACTCTTTTTAAAGACAGAAATATATTTATGCCCACAAACCGATGTTTTTCAGTGTTTCAAGATACTCATGTCATGATATTCATCGGTTTTGGCTTCCTTATGACTTTTCTCAAGGTATCCGTTTTTGATGAAGATCCACAATATAATACGTAACGTTGCAGCGTTACGGCTTTTCGGCTCTATCAATAAATTTGTTATTGGCAGTCTTCACTATCGAATGGGGAATGATAGTGCAAGGATTTCTGAGTCATGAGTTCGCCGAGGCGGGAGAGTTTACGATCGGTTTAGAAGAGTAGGTTTGGTTTTTATAGGTTGTCGCAAAAATAAACGTATTTTGCATAAATCAACCTGTTCTTGTTTTTCTGGCAGACCTGGGGCAGCATTCGATAGAGCAAAGCAAGCTCTACAAAATGACCACCAAAGAACCGTCTAAGTCGCCATCCAGGTAAAATTTGGATCCAAAAATCAAAATTTTTCAGCTACCCTGAAAATCGGATCTCCTTCCAGAAATGTACGCACAGTAGTATTCAAAAATATCTTTGCTTTTTTCCGGAGCTCAAAATTGAGAAACAGAGATGGTCTCAAGATGCCAAAATGCCACTTTTTTCAGGTTTTCATGTAAACTTGGTATTTCTCGAATATAAGAGCACTCAAAGGGGTTATCTAAGATTATACTTAGTACGGCTCATAATGTGCAATGACATGTGTGGGAAGGGGCTGGGGTGGAGTTCGCCGTTTTCAGACTATCTCTTTTTTCTCACTTTCTAAGCTCGGAAAAAAATCCAGTAAAGGAATATTTATTTGAGTACTACTTTGTGTCCACTATACAGGGTGTCCCAAAAAGATGTGCACACTGTTTGATTGTTAATAATTCTCTTGCTTTCATGTCTTTTGCCAAGCTTGCGGTACCATTCCTTAGAGCGAGGTTCAACTTAGATTTACGTTATGGAGCGATTGATAAGCAGCTCTTCATTACTGTAGGAATTACGGTAGGAATTTCGGAAAGGATTTTGAGCCATTGGAAGCAGTTTTTTGCCTCAGAAAAAAGCCGAACAAGCCAGAAACTCATGAACTGGGTCAGTCGAAGTTGCTAATTCTAAATATGAAAATTGCACGTCAGTACACTGTTTCTTTCATGAGTTATATCAGATTTGGGGTGACAACTGATTTTCCAATATTTGTTAGAAATGTGAATACGCCATCAAGAAAGCTCGAAAAACTGGTGGAAAGTTATGTATTGAAATCAGCACGCCTGAAAACCTTGTTACACAATTTTTTAGGTTTTTTCGAAGTTATTTCATCAAAAGGCTTATTCCACAGTGACCCTGTATGCTGAGAGTTCTTACCGTGATCCTACAGTAATGAAGAGTGTTGGTGACTCGCTCCATACTGTAAATCTAAGTATATCCTCGCTCATAGAATGGTATCTCAAGCTCGGCAAAAGACATGAAAGCAAGAGAGTTATTAACGATCAAACAGTGTGCACATCTTTTTGGGACACCCTGTATAGCGACCAATTTTGAGTTTCGTACGACTATTCTTCGCAAAAATCCAATTTCGAGAACTTTACATGGAATGCGACTTAGGCGGATCCTTGGTGGTTTTGCACAGCTTGCTTCGCTCTATCGAATGGTACCCCAGTCTGCCAGGAAAAAATCAAAAATAGTTTGATTTATTCAAAAATACGGCTTACTTTTGGGACACCTAATATATCCCTTAGATCCGCACAGATTTGAGAAGAACATGTCAGCAAGCAGAGCACTAATCAATGCATTTGCATTGATCAATAAGCTATTGGCGATTTGTAACAGGCAAAGACTGCGGACATTTCTCCTGTGATCGCTCTTTCGTTTCTCTTACCATCTGCTGTCTCTTCCATGCACGAACTATCTTGGGCGGACGCAACGGTTTCAGTTGCGTGTCATAAATTGTGTATAGCTTAATTTTGATCAAAAATTAAAACGATGCTGTTGCGGCCTAGTGGGCTCACCTTTTACTGCGAGATAATCGCAAACAAAAACTGGGAGCTTGAGCATAATATTGCCCTTTCAGCTCACCTTAAGCTAAGGGCTATATGAAGTAACCTAGCTGCATGTTTTTGTCCAAGCATTGAGCTGAATATGACTCTGTACGGCCAAATTTACACTTTGTACGCAAGATTCTTGTAATGGCCTATGAAGACGGATTTAGATTTACCGTCACAAGCTGGATTCAATGGTACGCGGCTTGTTTGGGTTGACCACTTCGAATTGAGCATTCCCTTGCTGAATAATAAGATGGACCGATTTACGTCATAAAAAAGCATATCATGTGGAGTTAAGATCGCCAGGGCTATGGATGGGCAACGCCCGCTTACTCACTCACGCTTTCCCTCCCTCCTAAACACTCCACACTCTCCGACTTCTAAATGGAGCTGACCTTCAGGCCAGCCGCTCACCATGAAAGCTGTACGGTGCGCGGCTGACACCGACCACGCTTATGTTACCCAACTAACTTAAATCTCAGCTCCACAACATATCCTGCACGCCTATGATCTACTGGGTCTTCGTCGTCCCAATATTGCACTCCTTTCCCGTCCATCAAACCTTTCGGTTGTCCACCATACAGCAGCGCAATTCGCGACCCAAGCGTGCCGACATTAAGAAATCCCAATCAATCAATTACACAAACATGTGAACGAAGAAGGGTGAAAAGCAGAAATAATGCACGGTTGTGCTGTTCATATTCCTGGTTGGGAGCGTACTTAGTAGTCCGGCATCAAACAGGGTTGCAGACTGTAGGGCGCTGCTGCCGTGCACACTCCGAACAATGCGGCATTATGGTACTGGAAAACACGAGAAGCGGCTGATCCGCTGCATACGAGATTATGCAAAATCGCAAAAAACCTTTGTCCAAAAAATTCTTGGGGACCTCTGGCTACCTTGTTAATACATACATGGAAACATCTACTAATCGATTCTTACATGATCCCTTCAGAGTGGGAAAACAATGAAGGTAACGAAAATCTAGAATCATTAAGAACAGATCCGGTTTTTGGTGTAGTTAGATTTTTTTTTGTTCCGTTGGAATTTTAACCTCAGATTCCAGTTGGATAAGGATTCATGCAAATTTTCAAGGGTGTATAGTACCAGTTTTGCAGCGAAAATGATTGAATATGATTGACGGAAACCACTGTATTGGTCAACTGTTACTGCCAAGGATTCTGTCATGTGAAAAAAAACAGTTATATTCATCTTGTAATTGCGTGTAGTTTGGATTAACTCTGGCGAAATAGCTTAGGAAAAGTGAGAAAATTCACTCGGCTTGTATTAGATTCATTGTACTGTCGTATTCTATGAGCATTTGTGATTATGTGACCTCTCTATAGCATATAGATGATCAAAGCATTTGCAGATCTTTTACAGCTTCAACTTGATTGAGGAAAAATTTTTAGGCTTCTCACTGCCGATTTCGCAGCCGCAATCATTCTAATCACAATGGGAGCCATGCTTGGCAAACTTTCTCCAACTCAATATATCGTTATGGCATTTATCGAAACTGCCGTTGCTTTGTTTATTGAGCATCACGTTATCCACTCTTTCCATGTAAGACGTTCTTCAATCACGCTCTTGTGGAAATTTGTATCTATCGAGTTTCCTAGGTAAATGATGTTGGCGATTCTATGGTTGTTCATGCATTTGGTGCTTACTTTGGCTTGGCTTGCTCAAAAGCGTTCGGGACAAAGAGCCAGAGAGAACACGAAAACGAAGGATCAATCTATCATTCGGACATCTACGCTGAAATTGGTAAAACTTTTATTACACTGATGAATCTAGACAAAACCAATGATTGAAACTAACGGGTTGAAGATTAACTGCTGCAACGAAAAAATCGAAATAAACAAAATTTTGTTTTGCAAACGCTTGAACAAGCTAATAAATTTACATAATAATCCCTTGATGAATTCCCTTGATGAATTTGATAATTCTGCAAGATGCGGTAGTTTATTAGATCGCTCCGAAAGTGATTTTTGTTTTGTGGGATGACGCTCTTTTCAAACATGACACCGCACAGAACGAAAATCTTTAGAATCTTTTGTTCTTTCAGGTAACGGTTTCTTCGTTTCAGTCCAAACATTAAGCACCATTGCAAAAACCATAGCTCGCAGTTTCGGTAATTTTCTGAGAGCTTTTTGGCTAAACTGCAGTAATCATCCGAAATAGGATAAAAGTCGTATCTTCACCCAAAAGATCCAAAGATCATTGTTTTGCGGGATATCACGCTTCTTGAGCAAACTTACGAATACGCGGATAAAAGATTATGAAAGTTAAAACTTTTGTAAAAGACACCCGATTGTCACAAACTGCCCTTATCTGAAACGGGTAGATTGTGAAATCACGTTTTAAAGCAATTTTAAATTTTAGTAAATATTTAGCAATTTTAGCAAACAACACTATAAAATCACTTAGGGCGTTTTCTCAATTGGCTTGTATCATTGCCATGTGCTTCTTATCCAATGATTTTGATCCGAGTAAATTGGAAAGCGCTATATCTCTCTTTTCCTATGCAAATTATGCGAGTTTTTTGCAGTTTGAGATACGAATTTTCAAATTTTGTGCAAAAGTTATGCATCAAGTCAGCACTCATTCACCCAGTCAACGTGTCTCACGTGAAGATAAAAGTTAAGATATTCCCAGATGCATAATAAGGCACCTTTCTCCATTGAGCTCATACGATAGATTTCCCATTATGAAAAGCTCATTCTTAGGAGCAATCTTCCTTTGGGTATTTTGGCCCTCATTCAACGCTGCAGCTGCTTCCCCAGCTGATGCCCGTCAAAGAGCTATTGTCAATACACTCCTCTCGCTTTGTGCATGTACCGTCACCACATTTATTCTATCCCAAGCTGTTGATAAACATGTAAGTCAAAAAATTTTTGGATTATTTTCGTCAAGTGAGATTTTTTAGAAGAAATTTGACATGGTGCACATTGCGAACTCAACGCTGGCTGGTGGTGTCGCTATCGGCTCAATTGCAAATGTGGTGCTCGATCCCTTGCATGCTATGTTGATGGGTGTAGCAGCTGGAGCTCTGTCTGTTGTTGGATACAAATATATTACAGTATGCACTTCTGACTTAAAACGTACTGCGCCTGAAAGTGCAGATATTTTCCTGCAGCCGATGCTTAGCAGCAAATTCGGCTGTCATGATACTTGCGGCGTAAACAATTTACATGGTATGCCGGGAGTTCTTGCTGGACTCATGTCAGCCGTCTTTGTGGTGGCGTACGACCCAGCACGATATGGAAAGAGGTAACTTTGAATTTGGGAGCAAAAGGAGAATTGAAATGAATTGAGGTTATAGTATATGTCTGCCAAGTTTTAAACACGAAAGCTGAGAATATTATTCTTGATGAATGAGTGTCGTGCACTTGCACACTAAAAATATAGAAATTTTATCATAAAGACGTTTAAGATTGAGCACATCATTTACTTTTTGTAACATATATCAAAAGTTGTATCTCATCATAAATGCTAGAAGTTTTTGAATTAAATGTAAAAAGTTGAACAAGAATTTGAAAATCATGACGATTCTCAAAACGTCCAATCGAATTCTTTTGGAGAAAATGCAGTGACCAAAAGGCAGCTGAAAAGGTAATCAAGTAGTATTTTAGAAATTCCAGCGAGCGAAATTTGAAAACCACTCGTGTGCTTTTCTTTATCAGCTTAAATAGTGGCAGTATGACGAATCGCTCCAAGCTTCTAAACGTGCAGGTTTTTCTTTGTCTAGTAATCATGAAATCAAAAAATGTTATAAATTGGGAAAAGTATGAAGCTTTCGATTTTTGATGCAATATTTGTATATCAACCTAATAAGGACAATACTACCATTATTGTGATGCATTTCAGTTAAGAGTAGTACGTAATGCGTTTTTGTTTTTGAAATCCGCTAAGAATATTAGGTTAGTGCAAAAACAATGTTCGCTTTTTGGGCCCCTTTTCCTAACAACTTTTTCCATCAAACTTTCTTCATTCGATACAGCTCATATCATGAGGAAGTTTTCTTCAAGTAACTTTCAACAGTGGTGCAATTGGGCTTCTGCCCTCATCTGCGAGAATTTCACCAGAGTTTTGCGCAGCAGTACTTGAAATCGAATTTTTACTGCTTTCACTTTTTATGGCCACGATTCTGGCGCAAGTGGACGGATTTCTTTGGAAGTATTGCTACTGTACGGGATTACATTATGTACTAAATGCATGCTTAAGTAATTTTTTCGAAAGTATCTGGACCGAGAAACTGACGCCCCAAAATAGATCCTTGCCTTCTATGGGCCAAAAAATCCTCATGATCAAAGCAGTCCCAAGCTTCGCTCATTTCTGTAGACTTAAGATTAGGACATCTTGTCTAAAATTTTTGCAGAAAAAGTTAGTTGTTCGGTGCACGAAGTCCAAATTTTCATAGCTTGGGACTTTTAGGTCTACAGCTAGGCTGAAAAATGGAACAATTTTGGTTTTCTCATCTTATCTTCCGCACAAAATTTTCCTTGGAGTCTGTTCTATATACACATAGCGTACTACTACTTGCGGTTACAAAATAAGCTGATTACCAGCCATGGAGCAACTGGAATGGAGTTGTAATTTCTAAAAAATAGGTACTCAAAACACAAAAACTTCTTAGTTTTCGACACATGGTTTTCTCCTATTTTCGATATCAGTACGATCAGATGCGCGCTAAGTTACGAAACATTTGCTGTTATGGCTTTGACTACATTCAACAATGTGAAGACTGGACAAGTATAACTTTTAAACAGACATTATTTTTGCACCGACCTAATGGTTTGAAGCAAGGCAAATGTCCAGTTTTACCATGTATAGAATAGAAAATACGACGCAGAGTGTGCAAGAATTTTCAAAGAAAAAGGTAGTATAGCTTAATTTATTACGTTAATGAGAAAGTTTCGGACATTCTTAAACAAAATGTGTTCCTCGATATCGGATGCAGTTGCGTCAGTGTTTATTTGCAATTGTACTCTCGCATGCATAAAGCGAGTGTCCAGGGTCAAGCAAGGGGTGTGGTACACGATCGCTGGTTACGACCCCCCCCTGATTGCTGTCTTAATAAGACCCCCCCCCCCTGGACTTTAACCTTAAGGTAGCATTACTTGGAGGCCCTGTCAAACATAATGGGCAACATATCCATAATTAGCATGTCGAATAACCCCTGTAGATAAAGTGTGAGCGGATTCTGAAGATTCAACATACTAGACTACCTAAGTGAAATGGTCATTTTTCAACATGTTGAACATTGTTTCAAAGGTGAATTAGCTATCCGTTTTTGCACTCAAGACAAAGCACTACTCCTTCTTTGTCCACCTCAGGAATCTCGCTTCAGAAGACCTCCGAACTATTGAATTAGAAGCCAACCAAAATCTCGTTTTTCCCATTATTCGCTTTTGATCGCTGTGCTTTCACCAAATATTACTCAGAGCTAAGAAGACGAATCAGGCTCAAATCACTCCTGTGAAAACTAGGTGATCTAGGCTATCGATCCATATAAATACTGTCCGCTAAAAATGTTTTTTTGATATAGTTAATGGCCTGCGGCACCCCCCCCCCCTCAAAACCTGCGGCAGCCGCAGGTTTTGAGGGGGGGGCCGCAGGCCATTAACTATATCAAAAAAACATTTTTAGCGGACAATATTTATATGAGTCAATAGCCTAAACCTCGTAGATTCCATAGGGATGTTTTGAGCCTGATTCGTCTTCTTAGCTCTGAGTAATATTTGGTGAAAGCACAGCGATCAAAAGCGAAAAATGGGAAAAACGAGATTTTGGTTGGCTTCTAATTCAATAGTTCGGAGGTCTTCTGAAGCGGGATTCCTGAGGTTGACAAAGAAGGAGTAGTGCTTTGTATTGAGTGCAAGAAGAGGTAGCTTATTCACCGTTAAGATGAAGTTAATCATGTTTTAAATTACTGCTTTATACAAGGTTGTTTACTGCTCGGAGACCTCAGAGTTCGCTGAAACTTGGCGCATAGGGGTTATTCGACACGCGGATTACGACAATTATGCTTGATTAGAGGTACGGTAGGTTACGGTAGGCATACGGTATCTGCAAGTTTGTGTCGTTGAACTTGAATTTTGCAGGATTTTAACAGCGCTTTCAACAAGTCAATTTAGTCACACAGCTTGTACAAGTGTTATTGACCTTGGGTCGATACGACCCCCCCCCCCTACCTACCCCCCCCTAACGACCCCACCCCCCTGCGGCGTGCCGCACCCCCCGCTTTACCCTGCGAGTGTCTGAGCAATTGAAGGAGTTAGGATCAATGAGAGCGGAGTTTACTATGCAATCACTCCTTTTTCCTTGCTAGAAGCTTCGTACAGTATGTGCATATCATGTTAGTTTGTATCTACTATGTATTTGAGCACACAAAACCTCATAACGTTTATCGAAGGTTTGGGTAAACTTAGAAATTTCACGTTGAACTTCGCGTACCTTTGTGGGAGACATTGAGTATGCTTGTATTATACTTGCCATAATCTTATGGGGCTTCTACTTCTTTATTTGAAAAATGTTAAGCGTGCCCTATTTATTATACTTACATCGAAACAAACGAAAACTTTGTGGAAAATTGCCCGAACTCTTTTGAACTTGACGCAAAAGTTTGCCACTTCGTGATCACGCTTATCGAGAAAGGACCTTTTGTACTGTTTGCTAGCTGCGCGCCACTGATAAATCAGCACGACGTCTGATTGACCAGCTCTATACAAGGAAGAGCAAGGGAGGAGGATTGAACGAGGAGCGTAATTACAACTCGACGTGCTGACCAATCGATGTTGTCACGGATCTTTTCACGCTCAAAATCATTATGCTTCACCTTTGCCTACGTAAATCGTCCGCCTTTTAGTGGCGCCGCAAGTGGCAATGAAATCACGCGCGTACAAGAACCTGCCCTGTGTATCTATCGAAAAAACTCGTTGAATGCTAATAATTCGAATAATTTGACAATTTAATAATTAATTTAATTTAATTATTTGCTAATAATTGCCATAATCTCATACATGGAGAGAATATTGTCTGTCTATAATATACGTGTGTATGTTTCGTTTGAAAACTTCCGTTTCTAACTAATCTGGACCAGGCTGGGCTCACATACACGTTGGGGTGTAACGGATGTCATAGGATATTTTTTGCTATTGATCGACATCGATTTTGCTAATTTTTCGCACTTCGAATTACGGGACCGTAAGTGGCACAGGAGGTTAGCAGCTGATCACGAATAGGTTATTAGTCATCAGAACCATCGGTCACCCTCCCGAAATGATGGATTTTTTGCAGACTTTGGGTTGTTGGCCTGAGAGTTGGTACAGGGGTAGGTGGCATGCTGATTACGAAAGTTTTGTCCGTTTGTGAGATTAACCACTACCTTTATCAATTCAATCGGTTTTCACAAACTTTGAGCTGGTGGCTTAGTTGGCACAGAAGATTATTGAGCATGCTGGTTACGGATATATCCATCTTTAAGAATAATTATTACTCTCGAGTATTTTATCATTTTTTTGCAACTTTGACCTAACAAGGAAAGCGTGTCTAGTCGAAGTGGCGTTTCTAAATGAGACTCATACCACTTTGAGGAGCATTGCACGGTGGCTCCAAATCTGCCTTCATTATCTGCCAAGCGCCTCTGGACGCCGAGTTATGACCGTTTTTTGGATCGAAAAATGAGTGCAAAATTTAGGTAAAAACATTTGTTACGGTCTTTCCAGCGCTCAGATAAAGCAATGTTAAGTATTAGCATGCTACACAAAATGTATCCATTGCATGAACTGTTCTGACACCGAACCATTTGAGCAAATTTGGGCGATTTTGCTCCAATTTTGCGTTCAATTTTTTAACCTGAAAAAACAAACGTCCATAACTCGGCGTCCAGAGGCGCTTGGCAGTTAATGAAGACAGATTTGGAATTACCATTCAATACTCTCCAAAGCGTATGGGTCTCATCTGAAAAGGCCACTTCGACTATAGACGCTTCCCTTGCAAGTTGGGAGTTAGAATCAGTATGAACGCAGCCTAAGGCTGCGTTCATACTGATTTCGTAATCCGGGAACAGTCCCAGCACAACGCTCACTTTGAGCGCTGTGCTGGAACTGTTCCCAAACTTCAGGATCAGTATGAACGCAGCCTAGCACGGCTGTAAGCGAGCATGCTTATTACAAAAACAAAGGGGAGGGGGAGAGCTCACATATAGAAGTGAAACAGGGACAGGGTTAGTACGGAAATGGAACGAGATGGTAAGTTCTTCATGTCATGTTGACAGGTACAGAACGAAGCCGTGTACCAACTAATAACCTACGCCTTGGCAATAACGTGATAGAGAAAACTTCGTTCCATTTGTACATAACCCTGTCCCTTCACTTCTATAAGTAAGCTCCCTCCACCTTGATTTTGTAATATACATGCTCTCTTACCGCCGTGCTAACTCCCAACTTAACTCAAAGTTGAACTATGAAGCTATCTTACAAGTTCTGACGAAGAAAATATTATTAGAGACTGAAATTAGTGAAAACTTCACTGATCATTTTTCCGATCATCATTTGCAGTTTAAATGAGATCTATCCTGCAATGAAGAGTGAGACAAATTTTAATGGCACCACCGCTTGGGGACAAGCACTATACCAGCTGATTGGACTAGGTTTAGTCTTGATTGGATCCCTAGTTTCAGGGATGCTGACCGGTCAGTTATAAAGAACACAGTATCAAGTGCGATAGCCTATATTTCTCACTTCAGGTTTTATTCTGAAAACAAAGGCGTTTAATCAAGTGCGAGACGAAGCGTTGTATGCCGATGATGATTACTTTGAAACGCCTGCTGACTACGACTTCATCACCAGAGTAATAGCTGCAAATTTACAGAGAGCGAATAACTTGTTTTACGAATTTACTAATGAGCATTTTCCAGAATGTTTCACGCATCGATCGCGTTGAAATCAACGAGCCCTCGCAGCTCACGCAAAAGGAAGTCTAATCCACTGCCAATGGTGGACTTCTTCGTTGTAGTTTGTACATATTTCCGCTAGAGAGGTTTTTGTTACACATCTATAAAACATTTCTTTGCACTTGCATGCCATCTCGTCTACTCTATGCTAAGCTTAGAGAACTGAATGTCGCCGAAGGGGAGATCCCATGCGGGTTAACACAGATGCGCACTCTCGTACATGCAAAAACTGCGTAATTGTCTCAGAGGTCCCTGTCGTGTGTTATTTTTCATTGACATATGGGCCCGTAGTAAATCCCCCATCAGGGCATCTTCTCTCTTGAGGTGGAGCGGAGGTGATCTCATCGGGCCTCACTTTAGCATCCGGCGACCCATTGATCGGAAAATCCATAGTCTATAATGCAGTCATTGTGATACGCTCCAAGCCATTATGGAAGAAGCGGAATTGAGTCCCTTGGTACAGTGGCGGAGAGAATGGCGTAATGTCTGAAGGGTCGGAGGTTCAGTGCCGGGGCAGCGCAAGCGTTTTTGTGGTGGCCAAAAAAGTTTGACTTTTATCGGCAAAGCAATTCTGCGGCAGTGACCGGCACAACCGTCTAAGACCATACACAGTACCGGATTTTCTTTCGCAACTAGAATAATTAACAATTAGAGGCGCACATACGAAAGAAATCGACTGACCTGACACAATCTGTACTGCTCTTCTAGCAGTACAGACTCAGTGATGCGTTTTTTTATTTATTTTTATTTTATTCTGTGCACATGAAGTGCGCTATAACAAACAATTGAAGGTTAGAGCGTCTAATTCAACGAACTCAATAATGAAAGTTAGTAACAACGCCGAAACTGAGACACTGGGTCCAATAATCGAATGGAAGATGAAAAAAAAAACAGCTGAAACTGAGGTAATGGTACTCCATGGGTTCAAGTAAGACAATAATTGCACACCAGTCGGCCAAGTGTGCGCTGGTGCGCCCTAAACACCAGTTGGCATGCCTGGAACCTTCGGAATGACAGGTATACCGACTGACCCCCTGTCGAACCAGGCTTACCAGAAGAGTGAGACTCTGGGCAAACTCAAAGGACCGGAAATGGGGTACCTACCTCAGCACGAGCTGAATAATGATGTAAAAATTAAAGACAGAGATCAACAAAAGAAACATGTAATTATAAGTACGCAGACACTGTGTCCCAAACTCGATTCTCGTACTAGAGCAATCACGAACTATCCTCTAAATTCACCATTAGCAGAAGATCGTTTTTAAGCAAAAGCTTTTTGAGCTTTGTTGAATCGTTTTGGCATAAAATCTCGACGGGCAGGCAATTCAGCAGACGACAAGCACGACCAGCAAAGGAAAACCGCAGCAGTTGTTTACGCCATCCCTTGATCCTAGGAACACAGATGTTCAATACAGACCTGCGGGTTTGAGAAGGACGGAAAAACCAAAAATTAGAGAAATTTAAACGCACCTCTTGTCGAAATATTTTATGAGCCAACAGAGTATCAGCTAAAATTCGTCTGTAGTATAAACTCTTCAAACCAAAAATAGCTAATCTAGTTTTGTAGTCAGGAAGCGCTTCTGGGTACTTTTTGCCTGGGAATAGTCGATAATACAAAATTCTGGTAAATGTTCGTTGTACTTTTTCCAACTTGGCAATATGTTTTTTCAAGGTAGGATTCCACACCGGACTGCAATACTCTAAAATGGGAAGGACATATGTCTTATATAACCTCACCCAGATAGCTTTATCTAACGTGTGTATATTCCTAAGCAAAGAGTACATAATTCGTGAAGCCTTCGTGACCACGCTATCAATTTGAGAAGAGAATTTGAGAGGAGATTCCATGATAACACCTAAGTCACGAACAACAGTCTGCGATTTAAGATACACTCCATAGTCAAATTCATCCAAAATTTCACCGAATCTTATCGTTTGACTCTTATTAAGGTTGACTCTCAGTCCACACTCCTCGCACCATTTTAGCATTTGGTGAACAGATGATTTTAGTTTATCAGCTACCACTACTTCATCGTTTTTATCAAAAGTAGCGTAAATTTTTAAGTCGTCCGCGTAAGCTGCTACACTGATCCGAATATCAGTTTTCAGCAAACTTGGAAGCTTCCTAGTATAGATGTTAAACAGCAGTGGGGAGAGGGCGCTTCCTTGGGGCACACCCGAAGGGGAGGGTCTTTCTATTGAACTTTGACCTTGGAAGAGGACAGTAAAACTCCGGTCCGTGAGGTATGACTCAAACCAAGCCAAAAGATTATTTCTAATTCCAATACTCTCAAGTGCTGTAAGGAGCATTCGGTGATTTACAGAATCGAATGCTTTAGAGAGGTCAAAGTATACTACTTCAACTGACTTGCCACAACTTAAGGCGTCGACCCATTCTTGACAGCATTTTATAAGCTGAGTTGTTGTAGAAGAGCCAGGGATGAACCCATGCTGCTCTTCGGGAAGGTAGTCCCTTTCGAGGCACCAATTCAAGAGATTTTTGGCAATAATTCTTTCCATTATCTTGCAGGGGGTCGGCAAAATGCTAATGGGTCTAAATTCAGCAACTTTATTTGCCCCTGTGCGCTTGGGAATTGGGACCACCATGGCTTGTTTCCAGAGCTTTGGGACTGTGCCGCTCATTAAAGATAAATTGAAAATATGGGATAAAGGAACACTCAAAGATTTGGCACATCTCTTGTAGAAAACGGCTGGAATTTTCTCGGATGTTACAGATGTGGTAGATTTGGTCGTTCTCAAAAACTTGTACACTTCGCTGCTCGTGATCACTGGTATATAAAAGTCATCGGAAGAAATCTCACTTATAGATGGGGATTCTAATTCAACATCCGCAAAAGATTTTGCAAAGTATTGGGACAAGGCATTGGCTTTATCCTCAGCGGAAAAGAGAACATGTTCATTTTCATCAATCAATGATGATCCAGCTCTCGTTTTTCCTATACGATTTTTGAGAAAGGTGAATAGTTTCCGCATGTTGTTGCCTTTTGCCATTTTGCGTTGTTCGTAATTCCAAAAACGGCGTAAATGACGATTAAGATTTTGGCATACTACTTTATATCGATCGGATTGGAGTGGATTATCGGTCTCTCGAAATAGACGTTCCTTATGCTGCAAAAGATTCTGAATCTGCTTAGGATATCTGAGCCTGACCTCTCCCTTTTTCTTGTAAGGAACGTAAGTCTCGATGAGATCATACAAAACAGAGACAAATCTTGTATATAGATCGTCAATATCTATATATTGGTCAAACAGTATGAACCAATCCAAAGTAAGGAGATGCGCATTAATAGCTTCAAAATTGGCCTTCTTAAAGTCATGGATATCATGCACGCTCGATGAAGTACATGATCTATCGATTTCAAATTCAACTATCGCATGGTCAGAAGATCCTAGAGGCGAGCATGTACCTTTAAAGGTAACGATTGACGATGAGGTCAAAATAACATCAAGTATTGTTCCACCACGCGTGGGGCTGCTCACCAATTGGACCATATCAAGAGAATCAAAAAGATCGATATAGCTCTTAGAGGATCTTGACCTACTCTCGCTTTTGTTCCAGTTAACATCAGATAAGTTAAAGTCTCCCAAAATTGTAGTCTGAATCGTCTCTGTTGCCAAACGTGCTAATAATGAAATTAATTCATTGTCCTCTTCGCTAGAAGTATTAGGAGGTCGGTATGTCAATATAAATCGATGTCGATAAGTATGATCAAGAAAAATATCGAATGCCAAAACATCGACCGACAATGAGGGATCAATAGGAATGTTTTCATACAAAAGATCATCATATAACAAAACACAAACTCCTCCACCTTTTTTTCTCAAACGATCTTTTCGGACCAAAACGTACGGTAAATCAGAAATAATCTCACTATCGGAAATCCGTGGTGTAAGCCACGTTTCAGTAATAAAGACTAATAGAGGTTTTTTGACGGAAAGTAGATGATGCAATTCAATCAGTTTGTTCGAAAGACTCCGGCTGTTAAAAAGTAAGGATACTTGCGAAGAACCTAGCGGAATTACATGTTTTTTGTCAAAGAGGATTTGATTTTAGGAATGTCGCTGGCTTTCACCAGTTCGTTCCTATAAACCACATAGACTTTTTCTCCGTTGTGCTGTCTCAAGTTGATCTCATGCGCCTGCCTCCGGAGCTCCTGATCTCTCAATCGCTCCTCTCTTGTCATGGATTTTCTCACGAAAACGTGATCAAATCCCTCAAGGGTGCGGAGCCTTGGCGCTTGGCGCAAAGCTTGGAACAGGAAGCGCTCCGAAGGCAGTACGCACTTGATCAGTCTTGGACGCCCCTCCGTGAAAGCGCCCATTCGGTAGACTTCTACTGGGCGAGCCTCCACTTGCAGGGCGTCCAAGACCCTTGAGACAGCACACTCGGTATGCCGTGCTCTCTCAGATGGTGCAAGACTGGGCTCGGCTTCTTCTATTCCATAGATGACAAGGGACCGTGCCCGTTTCTCGGTTTCCACGACAGTGCGTGGATCAACAGTCAAAAAATTAATCAATTGATTGAGCAAAGGCAGGGCCTCGGGTGCCTTGTCAGAAAGAATAGATTGAAGTCGAGCAATTACCTCATCCTTTCCCGCGTTCTTGGTGACGTTGTCCTCCAGAGAATAAGCCGAAGTAGGAGAAGCCGGTGTAGTACGTGCAGGCTGCGACTGAGTAGTAGACTTGGGATTCTTCGAAGACTTAGCTCTAGTAGCGGGCATGGGAGAGTACGTTGGGGCGACCGCTCAGCGTGACAGTACGAAGTCCAATGGTTTTCGCTTACTTGGCACATCGAAGTGATCACTGTCGCTTTCGAAGTCGTCCTAAATACAAAAATGACAGTGAGACGGAACGTATCGCTGCTTCCTACTATGATCGGTTCTGTTTCAGCTTCATTTTCCTCATGATGTTCCGTGCAAGAATTTCGCTGTAACAACCAACACAATTTTCAAGATAGTTTATGATGCTTTAGAACATACCTTCCCCACCATGCTTTCTCCCTCCTTAAATGGCTCTGTCATAGGGTCTTGTCGTAATATCTCCACAGAATTTCTCCCGCATCAGTTTCAAAAGGGCAACAGTCGTTGTTTTTGGAGAAAT